CATGGCTGTCTGGTGTGTTCAGATGGGATTTGACAAGAATGTTTAGCAGAGATGGGATACCATGGCCTAATCATCTCAGTTCCTCATTTGGCTCTGCTTCCTCCCGGGGCTTCACCATATGAGAGTTATCTACATGAGTGGACCACATGTTGTAGACTGTACCCACATCACTGAACAAATGCTGACACACTTTATTTCCTCAAGATTGATAGCTTTTCTTATTGGATGCATTATTCAACACTTGAGTAACCTTAAGACTGTGAATAATGGATAGTGTAACGTTGGGGCTGTTCAAGGTCGTGTGACATGCATGCACCGCTGCACATTCAATAAGTAACGGGAAGAGGTGTGTGTGTGTGGTGGGGGGGCAAAATATTCATTTAAAAGCAAAGGTTACGTTGGTGATACTTTGTCGTGTAAAGCTTTGAGCTTCTGCATTGCTGCAAAAGTAATTTGATTTCCTTTTTCAAATGCGATGCCAGAAAAGCAAACAAACAGTTTCTGAACTTTCTTTCATCGTGATTGCTTCTCCTCTCTCCACTCTCCCCCTCGAGGGCTCCATCCTTCCATATGCACCTGGTGCGGTCTGAAAAACATTCAAATTCAACCCAATTAGACGAGATACTCATGCATCCAATGTTTCTCTTGCAAATGAACATTCGTCATGTTCCCAGACGTTAAAAAAAAAAAAAAAAAAGACGAAACAGAGCAGCCCTGAATTACCCGTCTTACCACTGTCTTAACAATTAGCAGCCATTTGTGTAGAAAACAGACGCGCTATTACTTCATTTTTAACTCAGTTCAGCTGCACTGAGAGAGGAAAAGTGTACAAGAAGAGAAGCATCTTTTTGCTGCAGCATTAACGGTAGTTCTTGTTGCTTTTTTTTCCAGGGCCCTTGCAGACATCCTGAGGCAGCAGGGGCCCATCCCCATATCACAATATGACTGTGAGAATTTTGCAGCGATGAACGGCTCACCCAAAGACAACACACCAGTCAGAACCTCATCCAAGAACCACTACACCCCTGTTCACCCCTACAAATCCAACCACGGTAAGAGCTCTCCTCTCTCTCCACTCAATACTCAAAGCTTCACAAGCATCCACTAGATTGTGTGTCATGACTTTATATAGCTTGAAGGCAGATTTCAGGTAGCCCATCACTCTCAGGGCGTCTGTGTAAAGCATTTGCGTTATATCATTATTTCCGTGGAAAAATCTGTGTGCCCCTCCAAAGAGCACCCACTGTGCTCACCCTTTCAGCAGTGTAATCTCCAATGTTAACATCCAGTAATCATCCGATTTGAGCAAGAGAGTGCGAGGGAGAGGGTGACAGCGAAAAAAGAGGGGCCTGCTAGTGGAGATAATTACACGCTGGCAAGGTAGCGCGGCCCTGCAGTCTCTGACAGGCTGGAAGTGATGACCCTCAGTCACTCAGTGGTGAATCACACGCAGCACACACGGCGTGATTTAGCCCCACGATTCAGAGAAAGACAGGGAGCATAAATCGGTTATACGGGCAAAAGCTCTGCAGGAAAAACAGGAGTCCAGGGAAGCCAGCCAACGCCGGCAGGTTCTTCGGCAAAGCAGGCGTTATCAGATCAAGACAGGCAAAGACACTCAGGGAGCGGGGCACAGATGGGAAATAATGACATATAGAAACACAATGGAGTCGCTGAGGAGAAAGAAAAAAGACGTGGAGCCTCGGTGTACAGGATAAGTAAAGAAATATTAGTCGATGTTGAGGTTTTTTTGACATTGGAATACTTCACACATTAGGTGTTGATTTTGCAGCCCTTAAAAATGATATGTGTGTAGTTAGTCAGCTACCTGACTTTTAGTGACTCCTTACCATACCCTGGTTCCCTGCAAACCCCAGATACCTTCTCGTTGACTGGGGAGACATATCTCCGGGCTCTTAGAAGGCCTCTGCTGATTATGACAGAACTGTAGCTGCATATCTGAAGTTCTGAAAGCCAAACATCACAGCACCTGATCCAATACATGTAGTTGTTACCGGTTGATTTGAGCTACAGGGCAGCACAATTTATTTTGTCTCTAAATAATATTGTGCGTACTTCCAGCTTTATTGGGTTTACCGACTCTTGTGCATGTCATAAAACATGGCCTCTTTCTGCCACATCGCCATCTATCAAATCCTTACTGGGAACATTTTCTTGCAGCTCAGTGTTCATTGCGAGCAGTCTGCGTTCATTCACTTACTCTCCCCCGCTCAGTCGCAGCATCAGCCTATCACTAATGGTCACTAGCCGGCCATGCAGGGGCACGGCTGATACGTAGCTGCACGTGGCAGGCTGCCTTCAGTACGACCTTGCATGTATTTATACTCAGTAAAGGTCGGGCATCACTTTATCTGTCTATCTGACGCTCTGTTTGGCTGTGACTATTTTGCCTGCTTGCGCACAATCACTGCAACTCAGGCTGGCTCAGCTCAGTCTACCCGAGCCAAGCCCCCCCTCATAAGGGACCACAGCAGTCCTGACGGGGTTGGACATGAAAGGCAGTGACAGCCCGGGTGAAAGCGTTAATGTGTGCATATAAATTGGGAGCTCCGCTTGATGCCCTAACAGGCTCCAAGGTGCTGTGGAGAGGGAGCCCTCTCGCTCTCACAGAAAATGCATATTCATGTGCGCCTAAATGGGCATTTGGCAGAGAGTGGGGAGGCAGGCCTCGGCTGGAGTCGTCGCTGCGAAGAATGGCACTTCACTTCCAGAGGCTTTTTGAGACGCTTTTAAATCAGGTGGGAGGCCTCATAAAGCAAGTGGCTAAAGGGCCCACGAGGATCCTATCAACTTATGTCAAAAGTGGGAATAAACTCCTTTGATCCTCAACATGAAATGATGCCCAGTTGCTCCAGCAGTAATCACTTCCTTAGTGAAGTATTTTTTCCCCATCCTTATAGTTTGTTTAGGCTCAAATTCTAAAAATACGTGCTGATTATTTTTTCACATTGCAGTTGTGTGGCGACACGGTACCCTTGGTGCACTGCAAAACTTCTCTGCATTTTTAGAACAACATATTCCTTTTAAAAAAACAGGGCCTACAGCAAAAACAGTACAGACAGCACAATATGATACCAGCGCATGTGCTACTATATTTATTCACATCCACTCTGCATTGTTATGGGGCTCAGATCCTCTTTTAGGTCGGGGTGTAAAAACAGAGCACCCCACAGCCACAACAAGGAGCAGACCTTGAAAGGGAGACGCAGATACCTTTACAGGAGTTCGCCTTTGGTTAAAGTAAACAATAACCGCTTCTCTGAGTAATGCAGATTGGCCCACAGCTCTCTTCACATGAAGTTGATTTATTTACCGCACACCACAGGCGAAGATTTGCCTCCGTTTTCGTTTTTTGAAAAGTGTTGCTTGGTTTCCTCTCTGACATTTTCTTAATGCGCCGAATGATGAAATATAGTTTTCAGGTAGTGCAGAGAGTAGCTGTTTTGTCTGTCTCAGTTTACTCAACTGAAACCAAAGAAAAAACAATTACTCCTATGTAGCAGTTCTGCAGGGGGAAAAAAAAGAATAGGCTAATTAGATTATGAGCTATGGGTCTATGGTTACTGCAGCAGAAAAATCTGAATAAGTTGAATGAGAAGAACGACTGTAGAGTGTATGCGTATGTGTATGAGGTTGAAAAGCCTTCAGCCAGTATGTTTTGTGTTTGAGCTCCTGTATTTGAGCAGTCAGTTCATTTTGTCTGAGATGAGCAACCTCCCAAACCTAAAGGTCAGCTGCTGTGGACAATGATAGAAGGTCGTGATGATAGAATAACATTTCCAGCCATTTAGCAGCTTTGACATGACCTTCAGACATTTGTGTGTGTGTGTGTGTGTGTGTGTGCGTGTGCTCTCTGAGAGTTACCCAAACAAGGAATTTTGCCTAAATAAAAAAACACTGATATAATTACTCTAATTATTCGCCAAAAGGCGCTTTTATAATCACACTCAGTAAGCCCACCTGCCCCAACCACGCACGCACGCACGCACGCACAAAAAACCTCCCTCTTCTGCCTGAAACCTCCCTCCAATTAATCCTTAAAGTGTGCAGCTATAACATCTCCTCTGTGACCTTGCTGGCCCCCCATTGGTCAGATAATCATCACCCACGTGTTAAAAACAACATTTCTATGCTGACTGCATCAACATGTTTAATAGAAGCTTCCTCCTGAGGGCACCTGTGTTAAACCTCAGCATCCGAGAGACCCCACCTAATTGTCTAATGCCCTACATCTCATTATTGCCCCTTATTATACAGCTGAACCTTTGCCCCCCTGAGTGTATGTGTGTGTGTGTGATTGTAAAGAGGTTTCAGGTGTGGAGGCAGGGATCCATCAGCATCTCTTTCCAGTAGCAGTACCAGTTAATTATGGACCAGTGTGGATCAGGACTTACTGCACTGCACCATTAGTTTTGTGAGAGGGCTGGGGCAGGGTTACGAGAAAGGGGGCATGTATTTGCCAAGATGGCCTTTATAAAGCTCCAGCGTGTATCTCTCCACTAAGAGAGCACGAGCGGAACATAAAGATATCAAGATATGCGATGCCGAGCTCCAGCTGAACAACTTTATCGAGATGATGTACACAGCTCCATGTCCACTCCAGCAGTTCGGCATCTGATAGCGTTATAATCAGTATACCATGTAAATTACCTCTGCCTGGCTGTGTTAAGGCTTAATCGACCTTGGAGGGGGATAACCTCCTCGATGAGAGAGCCACACAGAACCACATCCAGCTCAGTTCGTGATATAATTATCTTATTATTCACATTTTCCACTCTCGGAGGTAATTCAGAGGTGTAGGTGAAGAAGTCTGATTAAAAAAGTATTACCATATGAATCCTTCACACGCGTCTGCTCCGGCGGCCGTTCATTTCCACGGCACGTCGTTGAGGTGAAAGTCACGATTTTATTTGTATCAAGGACGATAAATTCACAATGCGTAGCCTTCCCCCCTGCAGGCTGTACACGCTACCTCACCTTAATGAGCTGGGAATGGGTTCAAGGGTTGTCGCAGTGGGTCGTGGAGTGGCCTACCAATGACAAAGGTGACAAAGAGAGACAACAATAGCGTGTCTGTGTCACACACAGAATTGCTGGTATGATAGAAAGGGAAAATAACCTCAGCTCTACTCTATCTGCAGCCATGAAAGCAGCACAGGGAGAGGTGTGATTGAGTTCAAAGTGCATTGGTATGTGGGTGGTTGAAACATATTGCTTTTTTTTTTATGAGGATCATCACACTGCGTTTGCTTGTACGGTTCACTTTTCCACCATTTCCCATCTATCTGTGCCTGAGGGTCATTCTCCGTCTGTCATTTCATACCATGATAAAGACACAACTGGGCCCACTGAGAACATGATAGAAAAAAGCCTAAACACTATTTTCTTATCTTCAGCATGGGCCCTGGTGAACTTTATCATTTTATTTTAGCTTATATTGTAGCTGATCCCCCAGCCTTTGTGGCTTGTGACCACTTAAAGGTGAATTCTGGTGATTAGAGCTGAAATGATTAATTGAGAAAGTGATTAGTCAATTGACAATTTTTTGACAATTAGTTGTGAGGATTTGATGCTACTAGAGTAACTATCTTAAAGGTATTGAGGAATACTACTGCGTATGTGAAAAGGATGTGTCTCCAGAGGGAGCTGTGTGAAATCTGAATTGCATCTGATTGCATCTGATAATTGAAAGTGATGTCGCCTGAGTCAGCATCGGTTGGAGCTGAAGACTGCAAGTTTGAAAATGAAAAGAATCTTTTGATGTGGAGTTAGAAAGAAGTGAGCTTACCAGACCTCTGTAGCCTGCTCCTCGTCTCTGCTGTACTGTAGGCTGGAGGCTACATTAGCCGCTGCTAGCATATTCTCTGAATCTCTGATTTAGCTGTTGCATTGTGGGTAATGGGTAATTCATCATTCGATAAATCAAGAAAATAACCGTGAAAATAATTGTTAGTTGCAGCTGTACAAGTGACTTAGTGTTACACTTCCATAAAGTTGAAAAAGAAAGCCTGAAGTTGTGTAAAACCCTGCAAACCCTGCTTGGGCGGCTATTTGTCCTATTGTCCTTGTTACAACAAAGTAATTATTTTCCAGAACTTGATCTGTGTCCATGCAACATTTTTATTATTCAAGTCTCGGTAGCTTGTGAAAGTTAGATCATAGAGATTTGGGAAGCTGAGGACCACACGCTCAGCTTGTCCTCCGTGTTTTATATAATTGAGGTGAAGTTGACAAATGTCAAGGGAATCAAGTCCATCTGGTTTTCTCCAAGCTGCTGCTCCAGCACGTCGGAGGACAATGAAGTTGAACCTATCTCCAGACCACTTCCCCATGTCGCATCGCACCACCTTGAGTCTTGAGGTGCCGCTGTCATTTTCAGGGTTCAATTGACAATGAATGTGACCCTGTTGCATCTCCAATGTTTGACTCTGTATGTGTGATTGGGAGGTTAGTGACTAAAATGGCTCAAGCTCTAAAAGGGGGGATATTAGAATATTTTAGAAGGTGATGATGATGTGTTAGTCATAGTTCCTGGGTTATTTGAGGGTGCGTTTTGGTTGTTTTGAAATGGACTGTAGACTAGAAATGTTAATTAGGATTTTAGAATCTTCTTTTTATTTTCATTTCTATTTAAATCACTTTTTTTTTTAAATCTATCTCATCTTTAACCCATTGTTATTGCTGCCTATCATGGCCTGGACCCTATGTAAAATGATCTGACGTTTAGCATAATGCAACATTCCCTGCCTGGTAAACGCTCAAGTCTTTCATCCTCCACATTCCCAGCGTGTAACACATCATTTCTGTTTTTAGCCTTGACGAACAGGCTGAGATAACCCTGATGACATCACTATGGGTTGTTTTTACATTAATCTCGTGACTCCTTGGGAGGGTCTCATCCCCCAGACTGGGAACCACTGTTTTAGCTGTTGCTAATGTTCCTAATGATGGACTGATTAGAATACTAACACTGTGTGTATATGTCTGCCCTGCTGATTGTGTTTGTGTGTATGTGTGTGTGCATGCATCCCCTGTGTTTCCACAAAATGTGGATGTATGTGAACGGTTACATGTTCCTGTGTGGTGGCCCTGCATGCCTGCCTCTGTGTGGTTGTGTGTGTGTGAACAGGTCTCCACTATGGAAAGGAGAGTGTCCGGAGCAGTGGAGGGGCTGATGTTCACAACTTCATCTCCTCTGGCTTTGTGACGCTGGGTCGAGGCCATCCGAAAGGTAACGTACCTTTTCTTTCTTTCTTTTCTTCTCTTTTCTTACACAGGAGATTGGATTAACTCCACTTATCTATGAACACCGTTCTGTTTACCTGCTGAATCCTAAAGCGACCCGCGTAATGTTCCACAACACTGGTGATCAACAACAATTCACCGAGGGAGGTGAAATGTTTCCAGATTCAATTTCCCTCTTAAAGCAATTCACGTGAACTTCTGCCTCCGCATTTTGCAATTAAATACAAGCAAACACACACTTACCCTTGCTGATGGGCGACAACTGGGTGGAGAAGGTGATTCCGAGCCCACACACATCCACAAAGACATATACATGCAGCCATTAGAGTTTTCCCAGGGGTAATACACTGATTAATATGCAGCCATGTTGGCTGAGCTCTTGTGATTTATTCCCATCTATGGCTCCATAAACTAGACCCTGTGTGTGTGTCTGAGTGTGTGTGTGTGTCTGTGTGTGTGTGTATGTTTGTCACCACACAGGGGTGGCGAGGCAAGCTCCTTTACCTGGTAGTGCCTTCAAATGCTTAAATGAATGTGTTTGTGCCAGAGCGGGACGTCTTGTAATGTTTCATGGTGGCTGACTGCTTTGGTAAAAATCTACATGATTTAATTGTAATTTGGTTCCACTGCTGCACATGTATTTTCACTCTTCCTCTTTGTTCTAAAAACCTGCTGATTTCTTGCTCATCATCGTAATTACAGCAGCTGATGACCTGTCGTTGCTTTATTAATCCCAGTTCAGATTTATGCGTTGCTTGGCAGGCCTGTGTGGTTTTCCCAGCAGAAACTGCTCCTCTTTTACAAAGTATCATGGCTTTGTTTCCAAGTGCACAAAAAAAAACTGCAGGGGTACTGAAAGCTTCTCTCCACTTTCATTTTTAATGGCGATCCATCGTATTCATGTTTACAGGAATTAGCTGTTTTTCTCCTTGCTTTTTGCTTCATTTGTTTTCATCCCCAGAGGGGGTCCATTTCACAATGGTATTCATATGCAGCAAGATGAAAAAAACAAACTCTGCTGATATTATCTGTACCCCCGCCCCCCCTTACCCTGCATCTCTACCAGAGATGAGTGATGAGAAAAAATTAGGTTTTATGAATCCTGATTATTTTAAATAGATTTTTCCCTCTGTACAAATATCACAACAGCATCATTCCGGCACCTCCGGCTATATACTTGTAACAACAGCAGCGTGGGGTTTGGTTTAGCGTTCAGCAGCTGTGTAGTCAGATCTGTGTTTTCCTGCAGCAGGTAGCCTTTGATTCTCCTGCTGAAAAAACAAATGAAACGTGACAGATTGGGATCTTGGAAAGATCTGCTGACAAAAAAATAAATAAAAACAGAATATTGCAAAAAAAAAAACAACAACAAGTATGTGAAGCACATATAAGAACCTCACTTCTTCAACAGTATTCTTCTTTGCAACATCTTTGTTTGACTGTCTTGTGCCCGGAGGCAGGTCTTACTGTGGATTGACTCCTTGAAATCAATGAAATATTGGTCTGAAGTTTGATTTGGGTATTGTTGCTGTTGGTATTATCTCTAGCATTTCACTAGTGTACAATCACTTCAGGGTGGTGGAGGGAAACGAACAGTTTAACCAAGCCTCCCCCGCTCTCTCATGGCCTTTTTTACAAGCACTCTTGTTATCAACAAAAGCAGAAATGCTTTAGGTACATATATATCACTTCTCTCCTTGACTGATTGAAAGATATAAATTGCTCCTAACTAAAGTATATTCTGTGTTTTTGACTACACACAGTCATTTCTCTCCAGTTTAATGATTCACAAATAGTCAGTAAATCACTTGATCCCTCACTTGACCCGGCATTGAATTTATCCAAAATCTGTGGATGGATTTTATCATCCAGAGCGGTGAACCTGTGGGCCGATGTGAACTTGCAGTGATGAGATGGAGTCACGTTGAGGTTAACAGCAAGTAAACAGTCGTGCTGAATTTAAATCACACCGAGCTTCATTATTTTTGAAGAGGTTTGCACAGCTTGGTTTGCTCTGGCTGACAGTAACAATGCTGAGAAAAAAAAAAATAGAATGCAAACAGAGATTCACTGGTCAGTCAGTGAAAAAGTGAGCGTGGAAACAGATGTTGCCTTTTTAACCACGTCTCAGTTGTTTTTTTAGTAGATATGTTTTTGCCACACTGACAGAACAAGGTGTAGGAGTCATGAGGCAGTCCTCTGGCTTGGGTAAGCATGGCGTCTCTTACGTTGGTTAATTATACAGGCGGAAAGTGTGTTTGGTTGTTAATTATATGCCAAGTTGTGTGTGTGTGTGTGTGTGTTGAAGCACAGCCCTTGGGGAGGACATGTGAGGTCAGAGCAGCTGGATGCTTCACATCTGTGAGGTGGTGTAAAAAACAACCCTGTGCTGAACTAAATGAGATCTGCCATGAGTGCAGGGGTGGGAAACCAACATCCAGCCTCTCAGACTGCAGTTCAAGTTAGTTTGTTGTAATCTACCTTTTTTTGTGTACTAACGTGCCCCTCAGCTTGCCCTGTGTAATTCTACTTCAGTTAGTAGTGTCCTTGGTTTCCCAAAATGCCTTTTAGCAACCTCTAGTGAAGGGTCATGAACTTGTTATTGCCATCTCTAGGGTATACAGAGTTTTAATCGTGTTCTAATTTCATAACACGTGCTAATTCTAAACAAGTTTTGAAATTTGAAGTGGTGTGTTTGGAGTGAAAACTTTGGAAATAAAACCAACCTTTTATTGTGAAGCAGCTGTAGGAAATGCAATGTCCATCCGTCCATCGTCAACCGCTTATCCCGCGTACAGGGTCGCGGGGGGCTGCAGCTGACATCGGGCGAAAGGCGGGGTACACCCTGAACACCCTTGCAGGAAATGCAATGTACCTGTCACAAAGAATCAGAACCAGAATCAGAATCAGAAAGAGCTTTATTGCCAAGTAGTATTTTACACGTACGGGGAATTTGCTGTGGTGATAAGGTGCTACACGCAGACAAACATACAGATGACATGAATAAATGTAGAAATATATAAATATGGAATTAACAGAGGCAAGTATTAAAGAAGTAAAATAATACTGGCAGATATTTACATGTGCATTATTCCAGGTTTGTGTTGTGCAGACATATTGCAATGGAAGAGAATATTGTGAACATACATATATAAACTGACAATATAAAAATAAACAACAACAAAAATGAACAATTAACAACAAATATGTGCAATGTGCCAGGTTTGTGCATGATATGAGATGAAATAATATTTACATTTGTATTATTTAAAGTGGGGAGTGTCAGTGGGGGACCCGGGCCTTGTTAATGAGGCTAGCTGCAGACGGGAAGAAGCTGTTTTTGTGGCAAAAGGTTTTGGTCCTGATTGACCGCAGCCAGAGGGGAGAGTCTAAAACAGTTTGTGTCCGGGTTGGGAGGGGTCAGCTGCAATCTTTCCTGCTCGGCTCTGAGTCCTGGAGTGATGGAAGATTGCAGCCAATCACCTTCTCTGCAGAGCGAATGATACGCTGCAGCCTGCCCTTCTCCCTGGCAGTGGCAGCAGCGTACCAGATGGTGATGGAGGAGGTGAGGATGGAGGAGGTGATGGCGGTGTAGAAGTGCACCATCATTGTCTTTGGCAGGCTGAACTTCTTCAGCTGCCACAGGAAGTACATCCTCTGCTGGGCCTTCTTGGTGAGGGAGGTGATGTTCAGCTCCCACTTGAGGTCCTGGGAGATGATGGTGCCCAGGAAGCGGAAGGAGTCCACAGTGGTGACTGTGGAGTCAGAGAGGATGATGGGGGAGGGTGGGGCTGTGCTCTTTCTAAAATCCACTGCCTCAGCGTTGAGCTCCTGACTGTTCTGGCTGCACCAGGTCACCAGATGGTCAATCTCCCACCTGTGGGTGGTGTCATCCACAAACTTCAGGAGTTTGACAGACTGGTGACTGGAGGTGCAGCTGGGGAGTCCAGGTGCTGGGGGATGTAGTGAAGGGCCATGTTTACTGCATCATCTACAGACCTGTTGGCTCTGTAGGCGAAATGCAGGGGGACCAGGAGTGGGTCTGTGATGGATTTACGGTGGGACAACACAAGGCGTTCAGAAGACTTCATCACCACAGAGGTCAGAGCGACGGGTCTGTAGTCGTTTAATCCTGTTTAGATTAGTGAAGTTTGTTAGCAGTGTGGGATGACATAAAGAAAGAGAAAGAACAAATGAGTTGGTACATGAAGAGCTGCAGGTCACCTTCTGCACCGACGTACTGTCCCATGGAAAACCATTTGTGCCAGCACGGCTTGAATGGTCACGGTTGCTTGCAGCTTGATTTGCCATTTCAAGCTGCAAGCAACCTATTGAAAACAGCACAAGTATACGTGAGCAGTTATGCTTGATTTTTGAGTGTTGATCTTACAGTGCAATACCTACAGAACAGGAAAAGCTACACATATCTGCAAAACCTTAATGCAGCATCTCACGTCATCAGTATTTACTAAAGTAGTCCACTATATAACGTATCTGCAGTCTTGTCACCAGTGTGGTCCAAAGGACCAGAAAGATTTATTATGCCCTATGGTCAAATTATCCCACAATGCAGCATAAATACAAAGAAAGGTACATTTACATGAGTGAAAGTGACATCAGTGAGTAAAATTATTATGGATCTCTCTATCTCACACAATATATCGTCTCTCTATAGAAAAACTACTGTATACAGTGAGTACTTAATAGTGAATGACATGGTACTACTGGCTGAAACAAATTTCAGATGTTGATAAGACAGACAGGAAGATGCTGAGTAAAAAGAACAAAGAAAGAAATCGTTCTATCTGAAAAAACTTTATGAGACTGCGATGACAATCTGTTACTATACTATATAACTATAACAATGAATTTATATTAGACAGTAAACTTTGTACTAATAAAATGGAGTTACAACACTTGCCTACAGATGTTGTTTTTCTTGTTGAGAAAAAAGTTTCACAATAATAATCTCGTCGCTGGATTGCG